ATCATCACAAAGGGCCTGCAAGTTGCCGCCCTTGCCAAAATGCCTGCGAATCTCCCGGTACTTACCGCGGTACTCAAGATACTTGCGCTCCAACTTCTCAAAAATTTGCTTACGCCTCTCCTACCTTCGAGAGCTTTCAATCTCCAAAATCATGGTCTGCAAACATAATAAAATAAGCAAAAAATGAGGACGCCCACCAACAAAGACAACACAACAAAAATGCTAGTCAGAAAATAAAGCCCTAAAATACTCACTCTGAGGGAAAGGCCGGCTATGCTCCTCGATAGAGTGACGTCGTCCAGCTCTCTGAGGGTTTCGCCTTCCACGTCAGAGCAAAGAGGGATGAGGGCGGGGACTACGTTCTCCATATTCTTTAATAGATCAAGATATATGGGGATCGCAATAGTCCTCGTAGAACCTCCAACCTCACCTCGAGTTAGGTAAACCCCTCATTTATTATCTTCAGTTCAGCGGCGTCAACGTCTGAACCCGTCTCATAACCATCTTCGGTAACATATTTATTTCTCCTATCAGATGGGAAAGAAATATCGTCGGCTGGTTGCGAAGTTGACGGCCCCTCTTGCCGTAAAGTATCAGAAACCCTAACGGTCAGCCCTTCGACTTCCATCATCGCAGAAGGAAGGGATACGCCCTCAAGTGCTTCCACCGATCTCGGAACCTCAGACGCCATCTCGACGTCGTCTTCAAGAACTATGGTCGTTGTTTCATAGAGAGTGAAATCATCCATCACAGAATCCGTGCCCCGAAAACCCCGTCGCCAATGTCCACTAACCTCCTCTTACGGAGCACCAAATCCCCGTCACTTGGTAATGATTCCTCCTCCTCGTCCACAAGATGGTACAAGGAGGAGCCAGAGGCTCTGCTATCGGAATATCCGCAGATGGAGAAGAAATTGAGACTGAAATAGTAGTAGGTGGGACCGAAGAGCGAGCAGTCCTAGCCACAGTCGTAGGGGGGTGCAGAAGCCGAAGAGGAAGCAACTTTCCTCTTACAGAATGCAGGTGGGGGAGATTTCGGCCTGCTCGAAGGCCCTCGGGCTGGAAATGAAAGAAGCACAAAAGAAAAGAAGATCAGCCATAACAAACTATAAGAGGTAGGCGACTAAGAGGCCAAAATGAAGAAACTCACCAGTTAGGAAAGGAGCGGGCCCAAACTTCTTAAAAAAGCCCGGCCACTCACGAATTCTCACGATGTGAGGGAGGAGCCGGCCGACCCAATCAGAAATGTCCCCAACTAAATGAAGGGGCGTAGTCGTAACTCCATAAGAGAGGAGCAAAAGATTAGAACCCACGACTAAGCAAGTAAATCAAATGCCTCAACGAAGAGGAGTTAGACACTTACGAGTATAATTCCAAGTTTCGGGGAAGCTGTCTACGTTGGCCACCATGTCTTCGGTTGTAAAAAAACTGTGCCAGAACTGACGTTTGCTTTATCGTCCATCTTCACCACCAGGCACTTGCCCCCCCTCACCCGGTGGTGAAGGTTTAACATTGTCCCCCTATAGAAACTAGTGGCGAAGAGATGCATCAAATGCCGAAGTGTGATCTCGACCCCGGCCAATTCTACAAACTTAGTAAGCATCCTAATGAGCTTGTAGATATACGGTGCCAGCTGAGCCGGGCAAACGCCATAGAAGCGGCGAAACTCCTTCGCCAATGAGAGAAGGGGAAGACTGTAGCCGACATGGAAGGGGTAGGCGTAGAACGCACAATACCCGGGGCGGTGGACCTGTACCATATCCCTCTCTACAGGGACCAGCTGGATGCGAGCGGGAATGTCGAATCTAAGCTCGAATTAATCGGCCTCTTTCATCGCTGACTCGGAGATCTCGGGCTCAACCTCAGGTGCCTTTGTAAAATCAAAAGTGACTTTTCCACCACGAGGAACTATCTCCTCCACCGTAGGGAAGTCCTCATCCTCAACGGCAGCAGAGACGCCTACCGCGTGAGGAGGAAAAACCATCGCCAAGGGGACCGAGTTGTTTTCCTCGCCGGGACTAGAAGATACGTTGGCCATAGTTCTGATGAAATAGAGGGTATTCAAGTAGCGAAGAGTTAAAAGCAACAGGGATCGCTAGAGAAGGAAAGGAAGATACCCAACAATGGAATAAGAAGAAGAAGGCACCAGGTTCCGATATGGGAAATCTGTAAAACGCAAGTGTGCCTTCACATCCTTATTTATAAGAGCTCAGGCATCGAAAACGAGAAATCATGCCATCATTACTTAGCACCTGTATCGAAGCGACATATCTAATCAAGAGACGCGTGCGAAACAACGTCGCATCGGGAAAATGCACCATAATAACGTATACGTCACTTTGATTCAGAAACGACGTAACCCCAAAAGTTGCGGCTCACGAAAGGCTACGTTGTCAGATCATCTCGAACATCGCGACCTGACCCGCTCGTCCAACCTTCTCGACCACCACGAACAGAATCCACTCATCAAGGCCGCTTGAGGCCGGCCTCAATAAGCGGAAGGAGTAACTGTATAGGTCAAAATCTGCTCTAAAGTATTTAAGACAAGGTAACGCTAAAGGAAGAGTCTTCAAGCCTTCATCAGTCAAGGTCAACCAGGAAGCAGCGAGATTCGTGGTCGAGATGTCAACAATGGTTGTGGTCGAGCATTGTTGACAGAGCTGTAACGGTTAGTTTGGACATTCAAGAGAATATTCTAGTGGATATTCTCTGCACTTGTATTACTAGGGTTTGTTAGGGATATGTCTCATATAAGTTAGGAAAAGAGACAATAATATAGGGCATGTGATATTCGTTTGCAAGAACACACTTTGATAAAAAGATTCTCTCTCTCTCTTACTAAGATACAAACAACACATTTTTACCAAGATTCTTGTCCACATCATTCCATACTTTCTACCAGATCCGAGGATAATTCGAACATTCAAGGATTTGTCTGTCATTCATCGTTGTCATGAGGAATAATATCTATTTCCTCTTTATTGGGTGAATCATTCCTTTATTTACTTGAATGCCATTTATTATTGTTCATTGTTATTTAATGCTCTATTATTACTCACGTTACTTAGAATGATTGTTACACACCATTATTATATTTCTTACAGATCTGTCCCACATTAGCCGCGCTTTCATAACTCACATCTAGAAATATTATTGTTAATTAGGTTTAATCCCTTAATACATAAATTTAATTATTTGAGCCAAGAGTTACACTTTTTGGTCAAATATTACTGACATTTGTAATCAACACACATCACGTGTAAGTTGGAGTATTTTTCTCACTCATCACGTGAAAGTTTTTTTGATAAAGAATGGTAATAATATAGAATGTCCTATTGAATTGAGTGAATCATCTCAATTTAAAGGGTAATTTATGAAAGCGAAATAATTTGATCTGTTTATTTTAGGCCGTCATAATATAAATAACTTGTTTTTAAACTTTACATTCACTAATTGATAAAATATAAAAAGAATTACAGTCCATGTCACTTGGTCTAATAGCCCAATCGAAAATGGCCCACATTTAAAGCTCTTACCCTATATAGCCCATGTTGTACATAACTTGAAAGAAACTTTTCAGCCTTTAGCCCACTATTAAAGACATACTTTTAGGGTTTTTATTATTTTCTTCTTTCTTCATTCCCTTCTCTCTCTCACCGCCTCTCACTTCTTTCTCTCTAACCCACATAGATCCCTCATCCTCTCTTAACCTAGCCCCCGCTATTCCCCTCCTTTACCCCCTACGCAGTTCTGCCATTAATGGCTCGAAGAAGGCTCGAAGAAAAATTCCGTCGTCCATGGTGGCAAGCAGAAGAACGAAGAAGATTTTTGAAAGAAACATGAAAATACACACAGATCTGAAAATAAATAGCTCTCAAACTTGATTTGCACCAACAAACAACCACTAATTTTGGAGGATTTTGAAGTTTGAAGTTCTGGTAATTTTGGAAGATTCTGAAGTTTGAAGTTTGAAGTTCTGGAAAATCATAACTATGTAGCAGGTTGTATCGACACTGTATAATAGTGTATAATTGTGTATATGGGTATACAGACACCTCTTATACACTATTATACATGTTTATACAAGTTATACAGTATTGTATCATTGTGTATAAATGTGTATATTTGTGTATAATGTTGTATAAATATTTTTTTTTCAGTTTATAAGGATGTATATACATTGTTAGCGTGTAAGAGGTCTCTACAGAAGTTTGACACTTCCTTCTCTTCTTCTTTTTCGTGTATGTGCTATATGAAACAGATTTGTACGCGTTGGAGAAATTCTACAATTCATTTATCAATTTTTTATTTTTCTTTTATCCTGTTGGATTGCTTCAGCAATTGCACATAAAGGTGTTTGAATTTCTTACCTTCAGATAATATGTTGATTGTGTGAAATAAGCTGTTTTTTCGGGAATTAGCCTATTATTTTTGGGCTATAGATTTGCAATGTGATATCTAGGCTATTATGTTGCAAGTCAGGTGTGTGAGTTGTACTCATGTGAAATTATCCCTAAAATATATGCACGTGTTTTGACCCAAGAAAGTATATCTTAAGTGTCATATTGTAGACTTAGTATAAATAAATACAAACATCCTTATATAATAATCCAAATTTTTATTAGTGACAATTTGTTCACTTGCAAGTTGAACCAACTAATCTAAGTAGTCCCTAATTGTTCAAGAGAATAATTTCTTCCTTATTTACGTATTGTTATTTCCTTTTGACCAATAAGAACATGCTATCCAATAATCCAATTTTCAGATTCAACATCCTACTATTCATCGTGCCTCATGTTTTTTGGCATATTTAAAAACAATTCATTGTGCCTCATTATCAATATCATAAATGAAATGGTTAAGTGGTGCAACATAATAAATAATTGCAATATCTTTAGAAGGAGAAAAAAAAATAAAAAAGCAAAAAGAAAACACCCAAAAGGAACAGTTGCCTTATGGGAGAGCGAAACGACGTCGCTGTTATCGTAGCGTCAACGCCACATACGGGAAACCATTCAGCAATCCCGTTCAAAACGTACTCCTTCATTTCCTCTAATTCTCTGAGTTCAATACTACTAGGGTTAGGGTTACAGAGACAAATCAAAGAATTTTGCCCATCATAATCCATTTCCCATCCCAAAAATGGCAACCAGATCCGGCAACCGACAACAGGCTAACGCCGGTGGAGCAGCAAACACAGCAAAACCAGCGAAGAGAAAGCCAGTTTTCATAAAAGTGGATCAGTTGAAACCGGGAACAAGCGGTCACAATCTGACCGTTAAGGTTGTGAATGCGAACACAGTACTCAGCAAGAAACCTAGGAATCCATCATCATCGTTGCGTGTGCCAGCACGACCCCAACAGAACACTCGCATAACCGAATGTCTTGTTGGGGATGAATCTGGATCCATCCTTTTCACTGCTCGTAACGATCAAGGTTTATTCTCCTTCTCTTTATATGTGTTTTCACCTTTTTTGTTGCAATTTTGGACCTTTTGTTTTTGACACTTTGTTAATCTGTTTAATTTTATGTGGTCTGTATAGTGATCCACATTGAGGATGGTTTGTGATTGAAAATGAAACTATTTTATAGCAATGCAGTTATAAATGTATGTGCTAGGGGGATCGGAAAGTGTGTTTTTAAGTGTTTATTTATGTGAATCTGCATTTTAAATCTGCCAATTTATCATATTTTTACTTATCGAACAGAAATGTATTTGCTTAGTTTATTGACTCTTAGCATTTGGACAAGGGACGGATAAAATACTCGTAAAGACCTTCCCCAAACCGACCATAAGATTGGAGGTTCGAGTCACCAAGTGATCAAACTGGGAAATACGGCTGAACTCCTGGGTGCAGGGGTTGGGTGGTGGAATAGTACCATGTCATATTAGAATTTCATTGAGTAGAGCATTATCCATATGCCTTTCTTAAATGAGTCTATATTGGCACAATTTATTTTCACACCTTACAAAACCACCTTTTCGTTTTAATTTAATGCCCCCCCCCCCCCCCCCCCCTCTTTCTCTCCCACCCAATTTAGGATATACTTTTTACTTCTCACTAGTTACAAAAGGAAATCCTGTAGCCCTCCTTCCTTACTGCCCTCACTTGCTAATGAAACCTTAGCACAGTCATTTCAGTGTTCCTTTTTACGTGCGAAAAGCTTTCATCATTTTGTATTGAGAAAGGATGCACCAATGCATATGTAAGAAACTTGTTTTCTCTTACTGGTTTGTCTGATTTGGCTGGGTTATGTCATTGTTGGCTGCTTTTTTGGTACTTTTGGTGGCACTGGATTGGAAAGAAGTAGAGAGGATTGACTGGTGGAGGTGAGGAAGTGATTTTTGTGAGCATGGAGTAATAGGGATTCTGAGAAGCTGATATTCAAGGGGATATGCAGGTAGCCAGAAAACGGGGAAGAAGTCAGATAAATAGCACGGAATTAGATGATTGTAGGTGATCAGATATAAAGGCGAGATATCATTAAGTTAAAATGTTAAATAGCCACTACCTTTTCAAGTGTGAAAATGCAGAAAACCTACCACTTGGGTGTTTCCTGTATGGTCTCAATACTCATCTCTAAAAAATTATATGTGAGGCTTCTAAGCAACTTTTCCTGTTTTCCCTCTACTTTGGTTTTCGTAGAAAGGAAATGGAAATTCACAAAAGACTCCTATTGAGATTAGACCCTAGTGTTTGCAGTGTTCAAAATAAATGGCAAGCTGAAGTAGTAATTGTCAATATTTCTTCTCCCATACATAAAAACATTTCCAATTCCTTGATCAAGTTGAAGTATTAGTTAACCTTTTGCTTGTAGAGTGAAGTTCACATTACTCGGAAAGGTATTCATGGCTGTGTCTATTCCATATAGTAGTCCAAGAGATATATAAGCATGAAGCTGCAGGCAGCATTAGTATGAAATATTGTTTGATCCTAAAGCTCATTAAGGTGGTTGACTAGAATTATGCACCATGTAAATATGTCTTGTGTGTTTGCTATTTATAATTTTTTATGATTTTGTTGAAGCAGATTAACCTGATATTTAGTACAGAATCAAGTTTTATTGATGTGGTTTTGTGGATTAAGGGTTTGTTTCCTTCAGTTTTTTTTCTTTTCCTTGCATCTTTTGTTTTTGTTTCTTTACAATTGAGTAATACACATGATCCGATTTTTCCTCCTAAATTGCCAAAAAGGGTGTTTTTTTTTTTTTTTTTTTTTTTTTTTTTTTGTAGCCATAGCATTGACAAGTAATGTGGTGAGCATGCTCTCCTCCACCTACTTCTTGTGATGTCGATGTACCCAAATGATTTTTGAATTGTGGATTTCCTTAATTTAATATCGTTTTCTTAAGGGATACAGAATGAACTTTACTTCTTTGATGTGGTAACATCTTGACTTCTTTGCAGTTGACATGATGAAGCCAGATGCCACAATCATACTTCGAAATGCTAAGATTGACATGTTTAAGGGGTCTATGAGGCTAGCTGTTGATAAATGGGGTCGTGTTGAGGTTGCTGCTGGGCCTGCAAATTTTGTGGTCAATGAAGAAAACAATTTATCCTTGGTTGAGTACGAGTTGGTGAATGTCGAAGAATAGAAGTGAATTTTACATTACTAAGGGGGTGCTATTGGGTAAATTTGCTTTTGTGGCTATCTGTTTTTGGTATACAAATCTCACTCAATAAATTAGTTGTCGCGTTGAAGATGCTTAACATGTGGTAGGACTAATCTAATATCAGTTCATTGTAAAAAGGATTCACCTTATAAAGAGTGTGTTAAGGTGGGTGTTAGCACTAGTTTTTTGGTAATATATCTTGCTTTCAGTGCATTTATTGATTCAGATTATGTTCCTCTATCAATTTTCTTGTTGTAGTTTTCCTTGTTCCTGAGGGGCTTATTGGACTGATGCCTGCTGTGATGGGGGATTCACCTCAGAACCATTTATTTGCATCCTCCATATCTTAATACACCAATCTCAGAAATCCAAAACTTCATTATGATTTCAAAGTTGGGCACTCTTCACTTCTCAAGCAACTGACCAATTTCATTATGGTGATACCTGCTATGATGTTTCTAAATCGTGCCAAAATAACTGGGCGGAACAGTCTATTTCCCTCTGGATTCCTATTATATTATTGTTTTTATTTTTTATATAATGGTTCTTAATTGGCTGCCTCGTATCTCACGTTAAGTGGCTGTTGGCTGTTGCAGAGAAAATCATTGAGGAAACTGTTCCAGAGAAACTTCCTCTTGTGTTGAAGCATGAAAAATACTTACTCCTGCCGTGTTACGTTAAATAAAACAATTTAACCTTAAAAATCACAAACTATATTAAGGATGCATATCACTTAATATATTTATGTGATAAAAGTGTATATGTAAGACATATTTCGCACTTACAAGCGGTGTAAACATTGAGTGCAGTTAATTTTGCAATATGCACACAGCAACACTGATACATACTCCCCAAATGACGTTTGGGGTTTTGTTCCTGTCTGCTTGCTTGTTTAATTGACTCGAGGGCCAAACATACGCCATTTAGGTCTCCCCGGCATGTGGGTCATAGCTTGAAGAAAGCTTGTACTGGTTGAGTGATTGTACTAAATAAAATAAGCGGAATACTTTTTGACGCAAAATATCATATTTCTTTAGAAAGATTAGGCATGTTTAGCTATTTCAACTTAATCTGCTACAGCCTACAGGATGAAAGCAATAACTCCTATTAAAGTGTTATGACAATAATAAACCGAATAATTCTGAATCAGCTATAAATTTATGACTAACTTAGATAACAAGGAATCGTTCACGCATTTGATGATCAGGTATGACATTGTTAGACCTCCGCCACTTTGAGCTTGACTTGACAACGAGAGCGTTGTCATGAGGCAGCAAGAGTGTTGCAGGGCAGGTGCACGAGTAGCACCAAGTCAAAAAGGGAAATGGGCAAGTGATGGCCAAGGCTTCGACGGAGGCGAGGCAGCTTGGCAAGGGCTTGACAATGAGTTGCGAGCTGAGGGTGACACGTGATCATGGCAAAGGCATCAAGGCATGAGGCAGTGATGCCAAGACAAGGTAAAAACGAAGTGGCAAAGGCAGGCTAAAGTGCAACGGAAGGCAGTGCGCGGGACAGATTTGTCATGGCATTGGGGCATGGCAAAGCGCCATGTTCATGGGCAATGACATAGGCAAAATGTGGCTACAATGCAGCTGGATACAATGGCATTGGCGCCTGATTCAAGCCAAGGCACGAAAATGGGCACCAAGCTTCAGATTGACCAAGTCAAGAGCGGTTACGGCGCATGCTGTGCACATGGGCAGCAGTTGGCTTTGTTCAAAATGCTGGCAGATGGGAGTTAGCACGTTTTTTGCCATGTTTCCATTATTATTGGCATGATCTTTACATGTTCCTAGTAGTGGGGGTTATCAACTACGTTAGGCTAAAATAGTGGGCTGTGTGGGACAAGTATCTAAGCCTAAGGCAACTAATGTAAGAAAAGGGGTTGGTTCATATGTTATAAATGGGCAGCACCCTTTATGTTTGTGGCATAAGTGAAAAACATGTAAGAATACACATTGAGTTAGGAAAGAGTCCTAAGTCTGGTTTTCAAGAGTGAAAACACCTAACGCTAAGAGTAGTCTTGTGAGGGTCAAGAGTGATGTTCTTGTACACGGCATTGTACTTAGAGTTTGAGTTTCTTTGTATGCTCGAGTTAAATACAAAGTTGGGAAAAGAATTTCCTGTATATTGTGCCTTGTGTATCTTTATTTTCTGTTGCCTTTATCATATTTCGTTGCCTAAAATCAATCCTAAACTTACTGCGTTCAAAAGCTACCTAAAATATTCTAAGTCCAAAGTTGCTGTAATTTTGGCTAAGTGTTGGAGCAAGCTGAAGTCAAGTGTGAGACTTGGCTACCGTGCAGGCTGTTTTTGAGTGACATAAAACACGCTTGTGACAGACATCCCAATGAGAAATCAAGACTGAAGACTCATCAGCAAAGTACATCTGAATATGATAGCCTCTTTAAACGGAAAATTAAAGTGGGGTGGGGGGGGAAGACTTCATTAGCATCACTGCAGATGCTTGGACTCTTCAACTTAAACTAGTAGATATCCAATCTATATGGAAAAAGTTATCTGTATTTGCACTAAAGTTTTCAGGTTAAGGATAAATTCAAGTACCTCTTTTTGGTAATAAATCCTATTCTGTGTGCCAAAGAAACAAAGATCATCATTTCACTCCAAAATACATCAGAAAATAACTTGGGTACTAGTGTTACATTGTCCATCTAGATCCATTGGACTACAAAGACATGCACTGCATCCCAAAACATTTTACCAATCATCCATCTACAATACAAGAGGAAAGGAAGCACTTAAGGCAGGCAACCGAAATAACTAAGTACATTACCATAAAGCAACAAGCACAAGTCAGTTTAAAAGGCTCGGGGGAAGTGGGGAGAGAAGGCATGCAAAGAACTCTAAAGTCAAGAGTCTTATTGAAGGTTCATAGCATTGATTGGGAAGATCCAAAATCTTCAAGCTGAAAGGTAGGTCAAAGCAGCAATCACAGCCCTAACCAAGCAAAAACTAAAATCAAACACCGATTTAACAACTATAGGAATTTAACCTACAACACTGTGCTGTGCTGTCACCACTCTAGACATAAGTTTCTTGATTCAATAAATTAAACCTGCACTAGAGCTTCTATAATGATTTGCTTTCAAATCAGATTTTAGTACCAACCAGTTCCTTAAGTCATCTGGAACATTATGTACAAATTAAGTTTTAAATCTGAGGCACATACCACACTAACGAATACATCAAACTTCGAAATTTAGCTCAGTCCAAGAACCTACATATTACATTCTTCAGATTTTGATGTATCCAGGGATGGCTTATAACTCCTTGAACAACACTTAGAACTTTCCACAGATTGGCAATATATAACCAATCAAAGATAAAAATTAGGTTTATTTCATTTGAACTGGCAAAAATATTATAAATCTGATACCTTGAGTTATACTAGTTTACTCATTTTTCTTGTATAGTCATAAGCACTAGGAGCTTCAAAGAGCTAAACAAGTACATACAACCCAATAAAAACTGCAAAGAAGCCAGAATTTACTGGAAAAGGTCATAAGGGAAGATTATAATGAAAATCAGATGACAGTCACAGAAGAAAATATATATTTCTTCATTCGAGCTCATACGGTACTCTATTTTTCAGACATTGTCTCAGAGTGCATGGACATTAAACTTCGCTTGAACCCTCCGACATTCATCATAGATCATCATTGCAATCTGATTAAATACCAAGTATTAGAATGACCCTAAGCATGATTAAACTAACAGTAAAATGAGAAAGGGAAAAAATTGTAAGCAAGAAGCCTTCAGCCTACCCAATTCAGTTATCTGGAGGGTTTTTTAAGGCATTAACTCATCAAGAATCAAATGATAGTATCTACACATCAATCTATAATCAGACAGGAATAGCAACTTGCAGCAAATAGATAAATTAGATGCCTCAAAGTTAAACAATACTCCCAAGAAACTAGAATATGGTCAATAAAGTACCTGCTCTAACACCACAAAAGAAAACATTATTAAGGCTTGGGTAAAACGTTTTTGAGACAAATTAAAGCTTTAGCCATCCCACAATATCTAATAACAATGTGCTTCCATAGGACTTCAACATGTAAATACCAAATGATAATAGAGTCCAACAGAAGCCAGAATTCACAGAAAGGAAAGTGTCCCAAGTTCTCATTCAGTACTCTACTTATCAGTTGCTTAGACTGCATGGATATAAAACTTCGCTTGAACTCTCTGACAATCATCATACATCATCATTGCAATCTGATTAAATACCAAGTATTAGAATGATGCTGACAACTTAACAACTACAACTGGAAATGCAAAATTCATATCTAAGCAACTTTTGGTCCCACAGACTATCTGATTCAGTTTTCTTGAAGCTTAATATGAAATTAACTCATCAACAATCAATACCAGCTGCATGATTCACAAATCTGCAAGAAATAGGTATTTCGATATCAATCTACAATCAGACAGCACAAATCATATAAATGAACATTTCAAGCCCCAACACCATGTCAAAATACATTTATATCATGTAAGCTGAAGTCATAAGGATTAAAGGAGCTTCAGTTGCGAGTTAGCTACTGCCGAAATTTCTTCAGAGATTAGAAGGGCCAAAAAGGGGATAAAAAGAAGGAGAAAAGGCAAAAAACACTACAGTATCAGAAATGCAACTCTAGCATATAAGTCAACAGTAAAACAATGAGGAATGTGTAGGCAATATTTATGATATGAATAGCTGCTTCTCATCAACTTATATCAAACATCAAGCCTACAGCTTTGGCTAGGTATTTGAAAGGGGAGTAATGATTAAGCGGTTCTTCAACACTGAAGAAAGAAAAAGAGTTGTAGCGTAAACCAATATGATCCTTTTTCCGTAGATACTAACATCTTTTACTTAGCAAATCCAAAACTTTTCAGCAAATTCAAGCTTAAGTTTGTAAAATCACAGAGGGGAGGTTCCTCATCAACCCTAAGTGGACCAAAAAAAGGAAAAAGAAATAGCAGCTACAAGTTACTTAAGACTCCAGCATAAGAAGATATACTTGAACTTCATTTCATGATCTTCATCTAGTCCTCTTTTGCCCTACAAGATCAAAAGAATATGCATCGTTTACCTTTACCGGAGGAAAGAGGAAGTAACATATAGTAACAACTTTGGCTGATAAATAAAAATTGAAGAAGTTAAAAAGTTAAAACCATTTTATCAATGAAAGTCCTTTGATATTTCGAAGAAAAAAGTATAAATATTCCTACAAAATTTGTCATTAACAGAATAATTCAATTAATTCAATTGCCAAATGTACACACTTTAATTCATCACCACTTATTCACTCCTTGTGAAGGGAGGGACCTGGAGAGCCAAAAAAAAAAACGTCTTCTGAAGTTCAGAGCTAAGATAAATGCATACATTTCACTACTGCTAGGCGCGGCTTCAGGTAATCAACACTGCCCATATATCGTCTAGAGGTCTACCACTCGATTCAAAGGCCAAAATGGAGAAAGAGAGAACATCTAAAGATACAGAATGTTTAGCTTACTGGCAAATCAAAACAATCGAATCTGTACATAGCACAATCTTTTTGAGATGCAAGCAAACACAATTTAAGGCCAAACAACTACAATTCACACATTCACAAACAAAAATATACAGATATAATACAAGCGTAAATCAATATAAGAAGTGCAAAATAAAGTAGTATGAAATATACCCTCAAGAGTCCAACCATAACTCCGAGGCGTAGCGGAAAGCATTGAAGTCAGCAACGCAGAAGCAGTGGCAGTGTGATAAGGAAGCATTGTTTCAACTGCGCAGCTCATTTCAACAGGCGACCTAACAAAAGTAATTGTAAAATTCAAAAAACTTGAATATCATATGAAAAAATTGAACAATAGATACTCAGTTAATCGATGAAAATGAAAATAAAATCATTTGCGTTTACTGCCTGACCTGAAAATGCGAGCAGTGAGGGGTTTTTGAGTGGGGAGGCGAAAGGGAGAAGTAGAGGCCTTAGGCTTGGCAGCGGCGGCAACTCTCGTGGCGGCAGTTCTGGCGGAGGAAGTGGCGGAGCGGAGGACGGACCTGGCGGCGAAAGTGGCCATGTTTCGGATCGCGAGGGCTCTGAGAGAGATGAGATGAGATTCGACCGGCGAAGTGCTAAAAGGGCTTTGTTGGGGTTTTAGGTTCTCAGATTTCGGGACCTTTTCCGTTTCTTTTTATCTAATTGGTTAAAAGACCACAAAAGAATGAGTAAATGGCACAAGAGGTCACTAATTTGTTTTGAGAAAGATAAAAGTGAGATTTAACTTTAATCTAGTTCTTTTTATCTTTGTATTGTGAACATATCAATATAGTTTTTTTTTTTTTTTTTACCATTTCTGCTCAATCCTGATTTACAAAAGGAAATCATTTATATTAAATTGTTAGTGAGACTACCTATCATTAAAAGTTCTCAATCAATTTATCTTGCGTCATGGCTACTAACTTAGCATTTTCACTAATCACAAGAAAAGATAAAAGATATCCCTCTTGGACCTATTTTCATCATTGCGATGTGTCTTTGCTCCCACTTCTTTAGTTTACTCAGCAAGTTATACTTTATTTCTGTTCAATTTATGATTTTTCAAGAGCTATTAATTAAGGATTAAATTAAGTATTTTCATTATACATTAAAGATGATGGATAAGTGTTCTTCGTTTGGGAAATGATTTTTCACAAAAGTATTGGGAAGCATCTTAAGCTTAGGAATAACTTAGGAAGATTGCAAGATTTATGTTTTCGGCTGAATCAACTTAGCCACAAGAGCACTATGGTCTAATTTAACTGCAGTTTTCACTAGAGAAATTGTTAGTTCTTGGCGCCAGGCGAGTAGCCCTTAAAAAGGGGAAAGCATCCAATAATTAAACGTTGATCTATTTATGTTTAAAGAAAGAGCTTGACAACAAGAAGCGCCTGTAGCTCAGTGGATAGAGCGTCTGTTTCCTAAGCAGAAAGTCGTAGGTTCGACCCCTACCTGGCGCGATGTAGAGTTTTTTGTCATTTGTTTTCTCATTGTTACTACAAATCCTGAATGGTCTTTTTTGGTTCACAAAACTATTAAATTTTTAGCTTTACGCATCAATGTTTAATGATGAAAATATAGGTAAATTCAGATGCAAAAGTACTACTTGATCGTAAACTATAGGAAGTAACCATAAGCATCTGTTGTTTACAATTGGAAGTTCAATTCGTATTCAACTGTTAACAATTCTGTGTTCTTTTACTCAGTACAATTTTATTAGGAAAATACAAAGATGAAAACAGAATTGACAAGAAACATCAGTCTAGTGTCACAATCATTTTGGTGACTGCCGACGCCAGACTGGCCTAAATTGTAAGAAAACTCAATGTTTAGGTGAATTACTCTTATTACGACTCATCTTCTCTAACACATTATGTAGCAACGGAACACAAAGTTTCTGTGTCATATCCCCTTCTTGGCACTTGTAATCCTCTAACTCTGATCGTCTGTTCTCATTTTTCTCAAGGTGGGCTCTGTTTGTAACGTCCGATTTTCGTCTGTTTACTGGTCTGATTCCGATAAGTCGGCCTAGAGAAACACTTTGATCTTGGAAGAAAGACATTGTGGACTGAAACAAATCCCACAAAGTAACATTAATATATGTTGATGATTGTGGTGCATTCACTGCTTTTGAATCGAACTATATAGTATAAACATAGTTAAAAGTTTTTAAAAATTACAATTATACTAAATTCGAACAACGCTGTGACCAAGTAATTACCTCAGTGTCAAGGTTGGAGGATGAAAAGGATGAGAAACTAGGTGAAGATATGTACAAACGGTATGCTATCTCTTCTGTTGCAGCTGCAGCTGTTACAACCTGAGATCTCTCAGCCACTCTAAGTCTTATATTCATGTTTTCAAGCCCCAGGGGCCATCCACTGGGCTCCTCATGCTCCTGGCAAATTCATATTAATTAATGCAAAATATCAAGAACGCACAGCCGGAGATTTTGTGGTTTCAACTGTATCCATTGCTCTTGAATCCAAATTATGTACACATATGTAAAGCAAATTTACAAGGTATACATATATTTATATAATAAGATCACACAAATTCTGAACTCACTGCCTCTAAATCTTAGATACGCCGAACTAAAAGCACAATATTAAAAAAAAAAATCAAGAACAACGTTAAGAGCTTAAGTTTCGAAGCCCAATCTTCAGTCCCCTAACTCGAAAAACAAAAATCTCTCGTCACCTGTCATCACTCAAGATTGCTGGTATCACAGCAGAGCAGTGAATCAGTCTTGGATGCAGTTACTCAAATCAAACTTGTCACTGCAAAAGGTGCAAGTTTTATTTGTTCCTTAATCTGCTAAATATATGGGATACCCCCAAACCGCATCCCAGTACTTAAGAAAAACGAACAGTTAACCTATTTCCAGGCAGAGGTGAGAGGTATGGTTGAAAACACCAAACTAAGAGTTTCAGTGTGCAAATCTAGTGTCATATTATTATAGAAAGCTGTCAAGATAATAAAGCAAAGAAATAGTAATAACGTTGAATCCTAGTTCCTACGCAAACAAACAAATTATTCAGAAGACTGGCGGTGCAGTATCGTACCTGTGTTACAACCATGGCTGTAGAATTAAGAAAGGTTAATCTGGCAAAAGATGAGGAGTCAAGATGATGATGATCTGAGTATATACTTTATCATTCAAAAGGGACAGCAAAAAGAGTTTATTTGGAAGGAGTGAGCACTGAAATCCAAGTTAAATAAAGGAGGAGTCTTTATTACAATCTTCACATTCTTTCCATACAACAATTAAGCGGTTGAAAATGCCCTTCCAGGGCCCCACTCAGGGGTTCAGCTTTTATATCGAGTTACACCCCGGGGGTCCCTTCACGTACGAGACCTCTACTAGTCCAACGTAATACTACAACAATAACAACAATAATAATACAACAACAACAAACTCATTTTATTCCCACAAATAGAATATGGGGAATGTAGTTTGTACGCAAACCTTACCCCTATCTGGTGAAGTTAGAAAGACTGTTTCAAATAAACTCTCAGACTCAAAAAGGGTGAGAAGAAAAAGAGGAAGAAAAGAATGAGGAGAACGGGAAGCAAGAAGAAGTAGTACTAAATAATAATAATAATAGGGAATACGGTAATAGAAGCAAAATAGACCACATGACGTAATAAAGAATTAATAAGAATGCGAGGAACATAGTGCTACCAAAACTACTAGTAGTAAGAAAAGGAGAAACTTTCAACCACCTACTAACCTTCTTCTCTAATCCTTGACCTCCACACCTTTTTATTGATGGAAAACAGATATAAGCAGCGGAAGCAAATAACCAGGATCACTTGCATGTAATATAGACAACACATAATCACAGATTTTAATCAAATATAAAATCGATACTTATCTCTTGAAGCGTGATTGCGATCACGAAAAGAGCCTTCAAATAAGAGCAAAATCGTCCACGAGACCGTCCTCCAGTTCCACAGTCTTCTGCTGTGTGACCCGAATAATGCCCGAAATTAGTCTCCTAGGAAAACCGTGTAGTAAAAACCATGGTCTCCTTATGGAATAAGACCTCTTTATATAGCCACAGGTTTTAGGGTTTATAACCTTTTCCTAAACCTGTTGGGTCTTCCTTTTCCACCAAGAAATATAATTCCATTTAATTCCTAATCATCAGGGCACAACAGGGACCGCAGTATTTAATTAATGAGGCTTCCTATTATGGACATAATTCGAAATATCCGAATTAATACTACCATAATAAATTACGAATTGTTCCACTATTCATAACTGCACTCCTTAGTTCAATATCGAAATTCTTCCATTGAACCTTATTTAATTCCCCATGTTAAGATTCAGATACTAATCAAATAATTAAATTACTCACTATTTAATTCATTGATTATTTTCTTTAGACTTTCGCTTAACTTATTTCATGTGACGGATACAAAATTCACCTGCAGGGTTTACACATAGAAACTTATAAGCTTTCATAAAGGTGTATCATCAATCCCTAGACCGAGACATGGATTCCATCAACTAACTATTACTTTGTCAATGTATATCATTATTGTCCAATTTACCAGGCATATTGACCCACGAAAGAATCTCGCCTTTTAATAATTCAAAACTATAATTATATACACAACTAATAATAATTATATCAAAATTAAGAGTATAAGTACATTTAATGGCTAGACAATTTATTTTATTAAGTCAGTATAAAATACTTATCTCTACTTGGTCCGTGCAATACATACAAAATGTACTAGTACAAGAAGTCGGAATTAAACCATTCCCATTTCAAGATAAATTATATGTAATCTTGTGCTACAATCATTGCTGATTGTTTGTCCAATTCCATCATTAGATTGTGAACATGATCTTTATACTTATAAGAACCGATGATTTAATCTTCCGTATATAAGCTAAACTCTATGTTGTTGCTACTGTGTTAAAACGCAAAATCAGAAAACTGTTAGAAGAATAAAAGAAACTGGAAAAACAATAAAGATTAAGAAATATTCCGAGTCCACCATTTGCTTGTGCGTCCTTAAGGAATTTTAACCCCCTCACACGTTGCCAAGGTAATGGATTAAATCCTCCCAGGATAAAACGGAATAAACCTTCCTGCAACAGTGGCAATACAAACTGCAGGATACCAACGAACTTAAAGAACGGAGCAAAATCACACTTACGAATTTGAGAGAGAGAGACTGCGAATTAGAATGCAGTATTTTCAGAAAGAAGGAAGTTCTGTAATGTTTTTGGTGTATTAAAAACGAAGCCATGCCTCAGAATTTATAGGCAATTATTGGAAAAGGTGTGATGTTTGTTCTTGAAAAGGTGCCTTTTCAGAAGTTTACGCGGCCTGCCGCGGTCCTACCGCGGTTACGCCAGGACCGCGGCCAGAGTGGCCCTCTGAATCTGCAGCAGGGTTCTGGCGCGGTCCTACCGCGGTTACGCCAGGACCGCGGCCAGACTATCCTTCTGAATCTTCAGCAGTGATCTGGCATTTAATTAATTATTAAATAATTAATTAAATAAATTTTGTCCAAAAAATAATCTTATCTATCGATCATTTGACAAATCCAAATCCAAATCCAAATCCAAATCCAAAGCCGAAGCCGAGCCGAGCGAGCGACGACGGCGCGAGGGTTCATTCTCTTCAACTCCTTTTAAGAGCATTAAGAAGTGATTC